CCCCCCCCCCCACTCCCCCCCGGCCCAGCCCCACCCCCCCCGCCCCGCCCTGCTTCCTGCCAGCCGGTTCTCCTCCCAATCTCCCCTGGCCAGCCCCACTCCCCCCCATTTCCCCCAGCCAGCCCCGCTGCCCCTGCCCCTGACCAGCCCTGCTTCCCCTCCCCTCCCGGCCGGTCCCTTCCCCCCATCAAGTGTGTCCGGTATTTTTTCTGAAGCTACCTGGTAACCCTGGGCTGGACTCAGTGCCGTGGTGTTGGTGCAGCAAACCAGGGTAGAACGGGCGAAGCAGACGGGCCTGGCCCCTCCCAAACTTGTCTCCTGCCCACATGGAGAGGACCGGAAGGCGGGCAGAGTGTAGCACACACTTACACTCAGGCCTTGCCTGCCCTCTGGCCCCAGCCTGGGAAAGGGAGACGCCTCCAGGAGATTCCCGGTTGCGGAGAAGCCCGTGTGGGAAGCCCCGTCTGGTTCCAGCAGTCAGCTCCGGGGCACGGGGCTTGCAGCCGCACGAAACGCCCGCTGGTTTGGTGGGAATGACCCCGTCCAGCGAGAGATGCGCCCAGGGGCTGCTGGACTCCCTCCAGCCGGGGGCCGGGGGCGTCGGGTATCTGAAGGTTACGGAAGAATCCAGGCCTCGGGGTGGTTTGTTACCTGCTCTGTTTCCTCGGTAAGAGGGACGCTCCTCAGTTGTCTCCTTTCCTCTTCTAGACTGGCAAGTGGCTACCCTGGTGTTAATCCTGACGGCAGCCACCCTCACCTTCCTGTCACTCCTCGGCTCGCTGGTGTCCTTCTGCCTGGGCGCCCACCGGCGGCACTACCGGGGCGTCGCTGTTCTCCTCTTGGCTGCAGGTGCCTTTGAGTCCTGGCTCGCACTCACTGCCCCTGCGCTCTGCAGCTCACTAGTCGTGTGGTCGGTGCAGTGTCTGACGACACGAGTAGTCGAGGAGCGACGGGTCACCGAGTCCTGGCTCGCACTCACTGCCCCTGCGCTCTGCAGCTCACTAGTCGTGTGGTCGGTGCAGTGTCTGACGACACAAGTAGTCGAGGAGCGACGGGTCAGTGAGTCCTGGCTCGCACTCACTGCCCCTGCGCTCTGCAGCTCACTAGTCGTGTGGTCGGTGCAGTGTCTGACGACACAAGTAGTCGAGGAGCGACGGGTCAGTGAGTCCTGGCTCGCACTCACTGCCCCTGCGCTCTGCAGCTCACTAGTCGTGTGGTCGGTGCAGTGTCTGACGACACAAGTAGTCGAGGAGCGACGGGTCAGTGAGTCCTGGCTCGCACTCACTGCCCCTGCGCTCTGCAGCTCACTAGTCGTGTGGTCGGTGCAGTGTCTGACGACACAAGTAGTCGAGGAGCGACGGGTCAGTGAGTCCTGGCTCGCACTCACTGCCCCTGCGCTCTGCAGCTCACTAGTCGTGTGGTCGGTGCAGTGTCTGACGACACAAGTAGTCGAGGAGCGACGGGTCAGTGAGTCCTGGCTCGCACTCACTGCCCCTGCGCTCTGCAGCTCACTAGTCGTGTGGTCGGTGCAGTGTCTGACGACACAAGTAGTCGAGGAGCGACGGGTCAGTGAGTCCTGGCTCGCACTCACTGCCCCTGCGCTCTGCAGCTCACTAGTCGTGTGGTCGGTGCAGTGTCTGACGACACAAGTAGTCGAGGAGCGACGGGTCAGTGAGTCCTGGCTCGCACTCACTGCCCCTGCGCTCTGCAGCTCACTAGTCGTGTGGTCGGTGCAGTGTCTGACGACACAAGTAGTCGAGGAGCGACGGGTCAGTGAGTCCTGGCTCGCACTCACTGCCCCTGCGCTCTGCAGCTCACTAGTCGTGTGGTCGGTGCAGTGTCTGACGACACGAGTAGTCGAGGAGCGACGGGTCACCGAGTCCTGGCTCACACTCACTGCCCCTGCGCTAGCAGCTCACTAGTCGTGTGGTCGGTGCAGTGTCTGACGACACGAGTAGTCGAGGAGCGACGGGTCACCGAGTCCTGGCTCGCACTCACTGCCCCTGCGCTCTGCAGCTCACTAGTCGTGTGGTCGGTACAGTGTCTGACGACACGAGTAGTCGAGGAGCGAAGGGTCACCGAGTCTTGGCTCACACTCACTGCCCCTGCGCTCTGCAGCTACTAGTCGTGTGGTCGGTGCAGTGTCTGACGACACGAGTAGTCGAGGAGCGACGGGTCACCGAGTCCTGGCTCACACTCACTGCTCCTGCGCTCTGCAGCTCACTAGTCGTGTGGTCGGTGCAGTGTCTGACGACACGAGTAGTCGAGGAGCGACGGGTCACCGAGTCCTGGCTCACACTCACTGCTCCTGCGCTCTGCAGCTCACTAGTCGTGTGGTCGGTGCAGTGTCTGACGACACGAGTAGTCGAGGAGCGACGGGTCACCGAGTCCTGGCTCCCCCTCCCTGCCCCTGCGCTAGCAGCTCACTAGTCGTGTGGTCGGTGCAGTGTCTGACGACACGAGTAGTCGAGGAGCGACGGGTCACCGAGTCCTGGCTCGCACTCGCTGCCCCTGCGCTCTGCAGTTTGAGCGTGGGAAGAGCCGGGCGCGCTGGGTTTATTAATATTACTGTGTGCGGCCTGCCTGCTCCCTTCTCCAGGGTCTGGGCAGGGAACGTGCTCACGGCAGGGTTGGAATCGCCCCCCCCCGGGTGTTGCGGGGCCAAAGCCCGACCGAAGCCTCCAGATCCAAGCGTGCCCCGAGGAGGTTCCCGCTCAGCTCAGGCCAGAGGCTGTGAGCTGGGAACGTTCCATCCCGCCCCAAATGGAAGGGTCTGGCCCAGGTTGTGGCTGTGCGGAGGGATTTGCCGCTGGGGGCCGGGAGAAAGGGCCTGAGGCCAGCGTGCCGAGTGCCACACGCAGGCTGCTCGTGGGGAGATGAGAAGGGAGCCAGAGCAAGCCGCTTGCAGGAAGCGTAGGCTGCTGGCATCCTACCAGCTGGCAGGGCACTGTGGTGAAGAAGTTCCCAGCTTTGGTCCCACAGACCCGGGGCCAGGCGCACCTCGGGAAAGAGGCGACTGTAGCTGCCCAAGAGACAGGCTGGGAGGTCTGTGGGACCCAGGGCAAGGACGCTGACCCCCGTCTCTCCCCGTACCAGTGGCTTTGCAGGTGTGCGCCTTGATTCTCTACCCAATCAAATTCATCGACAGCAGCATGCTGAGGAGCTACGCTTTGGTCCCACAGACCCGGGGCCAGGCGCACCTCGGGAAAGAGGCGACTGTAGCTGCCCAAGAGACAGGCTGGGAGGTCTGTGGGACCCAGGGCAAGGACGCTGACCCCCGTCTCTCCCCGTACCAGTGGCTTTGCAGGTGTGCGCCTTGATTCTCTACCCAATCAAATTCATCGACAGCAGCATGCTGAGGAGCTACACAGTTTTCATGCTGGGGGCAGCCATCCTGTACTGCCTGCGCACCGACGTCTACGAGGAGGCCGACTCCTAGGCTGGGCGGAGGAGCCGCCAGCCACGGCAGAGCACTGGGGCCGGGAAGGGAGGAGGGTTGTGGCCAGACCCCAGCAGGCCTCGAAGGGGGCCAGGACTGCAGGCGGTGCTCAGCGCGGTGGGGCGATGTGGAGACACGTGGGCTGTGGCCCATCCCAGTGGTTGGCTCCCCTCCCATTGTCGACAGAGCTGGGGGTGCCGAGGAGAAGCAGCTGCTGTTACTTGAGAGGACTGTGCCCCGGGGCTGTGGGAGCATTCAGGGCTTGGGGGTTGGAAGACTCGTCTGTGGCATGAGCCCCGGCGCGACCACCGCTAGCTCCTGGGGAAGCCAGGCTCTCTCGGGTCCGTGCAGAATTCTGCTGCCTCTGCCTTGGGGCGGCTTCTGGCGCAGAGACGAACACGAGGGCAGTTCCTCTGTCGGCGGAAGAGGAGTCAGAGCAGGGAGGTCTGGGACATACGCAGGCAGGGGCTGCACTTGAAGCTGTGGCGTTAACATGCAGCAGATGCAGCAGAGAGGGGCTGCAAAGCAAACGCATTCCTGAAATAGCAGGAGCCTTTCCGTGCTTAGATTCTTTCCAGCCCGGATCAGTAGTAAACATGGTCCCCCCCCGCCCCCTGCCCAAGAGCAGTGAGAGGGAGGGAAAGCGGAGGGCCTGGCTTACCTGCACCAGGGATTGCCAAGCCGCCGCCAGCAAGACTGCGTTCCCGCGGGGCTATGGGTGTTCTCGGACACGCTGTCAGTCAGCCCATGGGCCAGCTGCCAGGGTGCCCACAACTGCACCCGAGGTAGGTGAGGATCCAGCTGCGCGTTTGTAGCTTTGGAGCAAGTGGCGCATGCTTGGGAAGGGTTCTATGGTCATTGGTGCACAGCACACCACTGCTCAGAGGACAGGCCCCGTTCTGTGTGTGCACTGCAAGACCCTGTCAGCCAACTGGCTGCCCAGTGACCTGCAGTGTGTTCTCTCGCACGTGGAGTTAGCGTGGAAGGGCTCAGAGCCTGGCCCCACGTCTGCTCTCCACTCGGGTTTAGCCCAGGACCTGCGGTGTGTTCTCTCGCACGTGGAGTTAGCGTGGAAGGGCTCAGAGCCTGGCCCCACGTCTGCTCTCCACTCGGGTTTAGCCCAGTGACCTGTGGTGTGTTCTCTCGCACGTGGAATTAGCGTGGAAGGGCTCAGAGCCTGGCCCCACGTCTGCTCTCC